TAATCACTGGTTTCTCGGCACGGAAATGCCAGAAATCGTTAAATCGATCGACGCGGTTCGTTCCAGGTGAACTCTGATGCAACGAGATGCAGCGATGTACTCCATAACTGACGCTCAGATTGCGTAGAAAAATGGACAATTTGGGAAGAGAAGATACGATTATTCGTGCCTTGGGTCTCGTTTTTATTGTTTAGTTGTTGACAATTCGTAATTATAAAAACGAACGGCAAGACTCGAATAATCGTATCTCCCAAATTGTCCATTTCTGTGGACAATCTGAGCGTCGGTTAGGGAGACATTGCTGTACATCTAATTCTGTTTGGTATGTTCTAGAAGAAACTGTCTAAAAAAATAGCGAGTAAGAAAATCCATCGTGTACACATATAAGAAACTAATACCGCTCTAAATATTAGGTCTACCGGAAAGTTCTATCCGTTTTTGAATTGAAATATAACACAATTTTCATACATTTAATAATATTTATTGTAGAATATACTTTCCATCGTTACTTATGACTTCTTGCCAGCGTGATGGCACCTTGTAAATGTCATTTTTTAAAAATGATTTATTTTTAGAGGCGAAGAACTCGACTAGTGCTTGGTTGACATCAGCTTCAGTTTTGAATTTTTTTCGTGTAAAAAGTTTTGCAAAAAGAGAAACAGGTGGTAATCGGAGGGTGCTAGGTCTAGGGAGTATGGTGGATGTGACAGAATTTCCCAGCCTAGCTCTGCGATTTTCTGACGAGTCGCACAAAGCAGCATGTGGTCTGGCATTATCATCGGTAGCCATGTTTTCACGATCGCGTCTCGCTTAATAATGACATGAGACATCTTTGTTTCAGTTTATTTAGGAGAGTACATGCGTGTAAATGCAACGATAATGAGAGATAGTCATATATGTCTCAAATCAACGTGTACATATGGATTGAAACTTGAGTGACGCTATCGAACAGAACTTTCCGGTAGACCTAATATATCTAGGAAATTACGGTCAATGGAAATGATTGTTCTTGAAACTTGGATCGAATAACTTTCTCGAGCGTGCTAAATCGAATGAGATCGTGTAAAAAGGAAATTGAGTTAATTTTTCTAGAATCGATGTAACTATAATAAATAAATAAATATCGTGAATTATTAGTACGCGTGGAAACAAATATGCAATCAAAATAGTTAATGCAACCGCTAGAAGAACGATCTACATCCAATGCAATGTAACGTAAGTCGACGAATTAGGTGACAAGATGAAGTTATTACTTCATTAATATCTTAATTGTATAAAATCTGTTTTGTTTTATTCTCTCTGCTGTTGATTAACCCTCGAACGGCGGATCATTTTTGCAATTGCACTATTCACGATGTTTGTAACAATTTTGAGTTTCATCAAAATATATTTTCGACGGTACAGTAATGTCTCTCTAATCGACGCTCTGATTGTCCACAAAAATGGACAATTTTGGAAAAGGAGATACGATTGTTTAAGCCTTGTCCTTCGTTTTTTATTGTTATCGATCGTCAACGACTATGAAAACGAGTTGCAAGGCTCGAATAATCGCATCTCCTCTTCCAAAATTGTCCACAAATTTTGTGCNATATGCAATCAAAATAGTTAATGCAACCGCTAGAAGAACGATCTACATCCAATGCAATGTAACGTAAGTCGACGAATTAGGTGACAAGATGAAGTTATTACTTCATTAATATCTTAATTGTATAAAATCTGTTTTGTTTTATTCTCTCTGCTGTTGATTAACCCTCGAACGGCGGATCATTTTTGCAATTGCACTATTCACGATGTTTGTAACAATTTTGAGTTTCATCAAAATATATTTTCGACGGTACAGTAATGTCTCTCTAATCGACGCTCTGATTGTCCACAAATTTTGTGCACAATCTGAGCGTCAGTAAGGGAGACATTACTGTATTTCTCACAGACTTATTGACCTTTCTGTTGTTCCCAATAGTAACATCGATTTATCTTATTCGATTGCCGAGAATTGAATAGTTAAGATATAAATACTCTGGGTCAAATTTGTCCACCTGTCCACCATCGCCACCTTGCAAGGACTAGGATAAAGCGATTAAGTTTTGCTAGGAAATATATAGTCTCCTCGATTACTTTGAATGGATACACACGTCGAAGGTAAGGTATTCCTTCGATGTTATTGCTACACCGTTAGCCGTCCTTCGCTGGCATTGCCACACTGTTAGTCGTCCTTCGAAGATATTGCTGCACTGTTGATCGTCCTACGAATCTATTGCCACACTGTTAGTCGTTCTCCGAAGATATTGCTCCATTGAACGAAAACGAAACATTTTACGATAATGGAGCCTCGCTAACAAACGCCTAAAGGTGTTTGAACGTCGACGAGTGAAGGATCGAAGGATCGAAAAATGACCGGACATTTTTACAATCCCGTTCGATCGTAAAGCTGTAACCGTGTAATACATCGTTGGTACAACTATATTGCCGCGAGGATTTACAATAAGTGAAATGAGACAGTTATGGTCGCTGCGCTAGAGTATAAAGATATGCGGAATAGCTTTGTTGGGAATATACAACCGCAGAAAGGTCTTTGCGTTCAGTGGTTTCGTAGCTGTTACGTGATTTGCATCTTGTTCCTTTTCTGTTGGTTGGCAACGGGCCCCCTTGAAAGACTGTCAGTTCGTTGTTGCGTTTTTTTTTTTTTAATGTTTCGACGGATCGTAGCGTGCACGTTCGCACTGCCTCCGCGGCGCAGCGCACGACGGACTCATCCCGTGGATGATCTACATGGTAGTGGTGGCTCTTGTAGTGGGTGTATACACGATAATAACTTCGAGATTCACGACAGGGAACCTCCTATGCATTGAACGGTACGTGTAATTAACGATACCGCATCTATTACAGCACTTGTTACCTATCCCTCGGTGGCGTGCTTAAGATGTCTCGGATTCTTGCGGAGATAGATTCATAAAATACGGATCGGGTTAACGCGATGGAACAGAACCTAACTGCGTTCTCAATGTATCATTCGCAACCGAACGGCGTGCGATTATTTTCGGAATTTACGTCCGACTCGGATCGTTAAACATTTATTGACAGATACGATTGGTATTATTTGTTGAAGATCCAACAGCGAATACTTCTCTTGCGACTGTTTCAATATTTTCCAATCAAATGCAATAATCGATGCATACTTCAGGTTCGACGGCATTAACCATTTGAGCGCTGACTGAAATGAAAAAGTATAATAGAAGAAATATCTATATTGTTTGTATAATTTTTATAGCTTTATACTACGTCCGTATCAGACGAATTACCTGTATTTTGTTCGTGTCATAAATTATACAAAGTTCACGATAAATCAAGCTTTTCCGATATTTAAAGAAAAAAGTTTCAATTTAACGAAAGCACAATGCTAAAGCGAATATTTATTTTCAAGGCAGCAGGTGTTTGAACAAATTACGTCGAGTCTCATTTGCAGCTCTCATACATCAAACCGCGTTATACATCAAAACGCTACAAATTCGCCCGATAATTGCCTCTCTAGATTTATGACGCGGTACTTTCTTCCATTTAATTATATTTATCGCGTAAAATCGTTTGCCACACCGTAACGAGAACGCAAATGCCCGCTTAACTATATTCATATTCAAAGCATCCGGTTAAGAAATATGTGCACGTCGGTAATTCTGCCGCCTACTAATTACTATATTCAGTCAGAATATAATATACGTCGTTCGTACAGTACGGCTGGCCCATAGACAGAAAGAAGATTTACAATCAGGATACACCTCCACCGTGAGCACTGTCCCGATTATCAGAGCGTCACTAACCTCGTAAAATTTTTATAACGATTATACAGATCTAGGTAACTATACCGAAGCATCCACCATCCTGTTATATTATCAGATTCGTTCGACGCCGGGGCACGCCGCGCCGTAAAACTTTTAGATTCTATCCTTTAATCGCGCGACCTAACCGACGACTATGATCGCGCCTTAATCTTCGACGATCTCGCCCGTCTTATAGATTCGAGTTATGCAGCCGATCGATTTATAGCACGAAATACCGAGACATTGCTATCCAGATTGAATATAAAGTGTCCCGTTATTCAGGTTTTTTAATACGAACAATTTATGAAGAGATACGGAGAGATACGGGCGAATGAAGACGCAAAGTAACTTTCGCAAAGTAAAATCCTTTATCAAAGGAATATTCTAAATTCCATCGAGTCGGATACATTTTTCAATTAGCAACATTTCAGCGGGAAAGGGCGGAATAAGTGCATTGTTATTTTCAGAAAAATAAATGTAATCAAAATAAATCTAATTGTTATAACCTCTTTAGAATCCTTATCCAGATACGATAAAATCAAAGTTCCTTATTTGCTTAATGTAACCGACAAAAGTATCGTTAATACGCTGCGTTTTACGATCGAGAATACAATACGCGTGAAAATCCTTCGGAATTTAAAGCTCTTCATTAAAGCACCGTTCAAATCACTCGGGAAAGTTTACACCATAAAGCGATAGCCCAGATATTTCTGCGATCCCGGCTCGCGGTATTCCACATACACTTCCCGAACCATCAATTTAGTAGGTCAGTCGCATGCTGATACCCATCCATCTCGCGATTTCACGCTCGATAGTTTAATGAAATCACGCCGGGACGCGGCGCGGCGGATACCTACTCCGGACAGACACAGACATAAACCACGAAGAATTTCTAAACTCGTAATAAATTTTGACAGAATGGTCTGACCGGCGTTGACGGCCGCTATAACGGGTGATTTACACGCGTAACTTTTCGTACGCTCGGCCGAAGGATATCCATAGAAGATAGAGCCGCGAGTCGCGTGTTCGGTCCCTGTCCGCGGAACAGGGGCCAACGTGGAATATATTGGGGGTCGTTAAATCCACGGTGGAAAAAGAAAACAAGGGAACAGAAGGAGAACAAACGAGCGAGCAACAAAAATGGTAACAAAAAAAGCAAGCAAAATGTATCCGTTGAATGCGCAGGTGGTTGGCTTGAAGAGAGTCGGTAGCAGCAGCGACATTTGGCCGCTGGAGAGGCCAGAAGGGATGCCGGCCATACAATCCCTCGAAGTGATGTGCGGAAAGGATCACATGGACGTGCATCTATCGTTCTCCCAACCCTTCGAGGGCATAGTCTCGTCCAAGGGCCAGCACGCTGATCCCCGATGCGTCTACGTTCCGCCTTCGACCGGGCAGACTTTCTTCTCCTTTCGAATAGCCTACGCGAGGTAAGACCGTGGGATTCCCATTGATTCGCCGGACCGTATCTATCTAGCGAAACATCTTTATGGCCAGGATCTGTATAGCCTGACTCGCCGCGCCGCGAGAGGATTTAAGGCGCGTGGAATCGTTCATGCCCGGGATCGATCGCGTCTCGCCATTTATCGCCGAGTCTACGGCCGTTCGCGGCTCGTGATGTCAGATAACACGCGATTCGATAAGGGCTTCGGCTTAACTAGAAATTATTTCACTATCGAGTAATTGCTTTCAATTAATCAGGACGATGAAGTCGTTCGCGGTTCGCGACGTTTGCGAGGCAATTCATTATCGCTGTTAGATACCGTCAATTAAAAGCCGATTCTTCCGTTTATCTCGGTGTTTCTGATACCGAACTTCTCGCTTTGGGCCGCGATTTAATTAATTTCAATGGAAACTGTATGCTTTACAACTGATTGCGGATGTTTATGCAAAATAAAGATTGTCCGCATCAATTGCAAAAGATAAAAGTGTTGGGAGGAATGTATTTCTCTCTCTCTATCTAACCCCTTGAGGTACCAGTTTGTACCATTCAACCTTGACTGAGTTCAAAGAACGGAATAACATTTGTACTTGTCAGATTATTACTAAAAATCTCTGTCACCGGTCGGACTCGTTGAAATACGTCAAGGGGTTATTAATAAATTGAGAGTAATATGTAGACTGCGGATCTTTGCGCGTGATAAAAATTTTCCAAGACGATCGTGACACACAGAAATGAAGTAAAAAATAAATTGTTTCCGTTAATCATTTTTACAATTAAACAGAATGTAGCAATTCATTAAATTCGTCTAATATAGCCTTCACGATTTTATATTCCGGCTACTTATATTTGCATAAAATCCGCTGTCCAGTTATATAACAATCTTCTAAAATTCTTCTGCCTTCAATGTTCTGTGCTTCAATTATCCACTTTTGCCATAAATGCACAAAATCCGCAGTCCGTTGTTGACTCATGTAGTTGAACCCTTTGCACTCGAGTGGCGACTCTGAGACACCACTCGAGGTCGTTACACGATGTTCCATTTTTACATTGTCAAATCTGTTTATTTTCAAAGAACTGTTCAAAGTACAACTGTTACACAGACTCGATTTCAAATGTATAAATTGCACTAATAAGTCATATATAAAATGAAAATACCCTAGGTCAGGTTGGCAGGGTTAAATTATGTCAAGGTTTTACATCAAAATGTACTATTTCACGAAAATGTCGAAATATGATTCCCAGGACATTTTGTGCCGTTTTTTGGTGCACTGTGTGCATTGGTGTACCGTGGATCTTACCCCCAAGATCAATGTTTTCCGAAGCAATTGCGGATACACGTAGATTCGCACGGGAAATCGTTCTCCCTTCCGGCGTTCCTCAATGCTGATTTACCGTTTTCGATTCGCAAATACGCGAGGTGCGGGAAATCCGCAGCGTACGGACACGCTACGCGAGAAACTAAACTGCGTTTGCCCGTAGATGCGGTACCAAGCCGGACATGCACGGTCAGTTCTACGAGAACACCGTTGTCGTGCAGTATGACAAAGACCTGCTGGAGGTCTGGGACGAAGCCAAGCGGTTGCGATGCGAGTGGTTCAACGATTACGAGAAAACAGCCTCGAAACCGCCGATGGTGATCGCGGATCTCGACGTCATACAATTGGATTTTAGAGGTACGAATTCTCCCTGCCCGGAGCCATTCTCGTCCGTTAAACGAGATATACATAGACCGAAACGCTTCTGAAACAAAAGAGCGCGGGAGGAGATCGCGACCTCGCGTTCGCGCGACAAGTAAAAAGCTGCGCGAACGAATGAATCGAGGCACCGGCGTGGATGGATCAAGGTTGTAGAGTCGCGATCGTAAAGAGTTTTCGGGCCCGCAAAGGCGGCATTGTGAATCGAACGGCGCGCATTATTTCGATCGCGAGGCAGTCGAGGGAGTTGAATGAACGCTGCGGCGGTTTACGTCAGCCACATTTTACCGTGTACAAGTCCACGGACACGTAGCGGATAGGAGGAACGATGATCCCCGGCGCAAAGAGTTTAATACGAGGTAAATGATGGTACCGTACACGGTAACTCGTGCACTCGTGGTTGACCACAGGTGGAACCGCAGCCACGCCACTTAATTTCAATTTATGCAACACGTATAAATTGCACCTGGCGCGCCGCGCCTAGAAAGCGGCCCGCCGACCCGGCCGCCGATCCTACCTTTAGGGCGCGAATACGAGAGACCGTGCTATTCTGTCGATATTGCAGGTGACAACGTGGATTGCTGGATGGAAATTCAACACGGCAAAGGACCATGGGCGCCGCCGGTTTCCGGAATAGTACCATTGGGCTCGACGCTCACCCTGGTCGTCGCCATTAACGATTACCGAGGTAAACGAGCACACTTTCGAACGATGCCACCGATGGCACCGCCGTTTCTCTGCATGCACGGTCCGGCAACGAGCAGGGCACTAAGTACGTTTCCTCGTTAACTCGGTGCAGGGGAATTCGACATGCGTGTCAAGTCGTGCGTGGCCTCCGACGGCGGCGGACACACGATACAGCTCAGCGACGAGTTCGGATGCGTGCTCAGGCCGAAGATGATCAGCCGATTCCTGAAGGCGAGGGGCTCCGACGATCGGGCGACAGTCATCACTTACGCCTTCTTCCACGCGTTCAAGTTCCCGGACGCGTTGAGCGTGCACATCAAGTGCAAGGTAAACCGTCGACTAATACGCAATGGATCGGAGGCTCGATCGAGCTGCGATTTATTATTGCGGACAGCCAGCGGTGTGTTTGCGGACCTGTTAACCCTCGTTTCACGCACTTCATTTGCCAATTAAAACGCAGCGCTGTGACATGTTTTATGGCAGGTATCGGCGGTTTTCTTCGGGAGCAGGTAAACGAAGAAAGATTCTTAGCACAACGGCAGACGCGTTTAAGAGGCTGACCACCGTCTTCCGGGTGGTCCAATTAAAAGTTGAATAATCGGATCGTTAACAGACGTCTACGATGAAGCAGCTCCATTTGTCAATTTCGAGCATTCCGGTGGAAAGATGATCGATCGTTCAATTTGTGATTTCGGTGGTATTCTGTGAAATCTGTTTGACGAAGAAAAAACCGACGAAACTCGTAATCGGCGAAGATCGTAATCTGTCAGAAAAAAAAAATTGAGCTCGTTTCGTTTCTTAGTAATCCCGCGAACGCGTTCGAGACTCGAAATGTCTTCCAGATGGCCGAATTAAAAATCAAACATTCAGATGCTTAACAGATGTCTAAACATATTATAACACGTACGATAAGAGGCATGCTTCGTAAAAATTTCATTTACACATGTCGTAAGTTCGCCCGCGTCAGAGAACAAAAAATATGTGATCGATTGATTATGTAAATTCGTATTTCGAGGGACGAAAGAAACGATGACTATGAGAAACAAGCGGGATCTAAAGTTGTTTTGATCAATGTCAAGGTGGAGATCTGTCGTCGCGGCTGTTTGGATCATTGTCAACTCAGTGGGTCTGTTGGCCATTACATTCAAGAGCGGAAGGATCAGATACGACCGCAATACTCGCAGACCACGGCACCGCCCACCATTCACGATGACGACAATAACAGCGCCGAGAAGGACAACGAGAACGCAGGAGGTGGAGCCGAGCAGCCTGATGGCTCCCTTTACGACGATATCATTCAAGATGGTGACGAGATGACCTCTATAGGAGGTCACTTCTTGGGGGTCGAGAAGTCAGCACCGAAGGCACAGGCGCAGACGAGCAACCGGCTACCGGCGCCAGTCGTTGAGACGCCTGATGAGGAGATACATCCGGACGATGATGATCTCTCGAGACCGTTCTTAGTAAATATCCTTCATGCTTCTCATTTCTTTCTCTTAGAAGTTTGCATTGGTCGGACGGTTTTCAAAAAGATCATTCTTTCATATATCAGAAGCCTGTTAATCGCGTTTCCAATGACTGCTTAGAAATCTTTTTCTAAGTAATAATCCGAAATGAAATTGATTAGAACAATTCCCAGTTTTATGGAATTTTATAGGATATATTTATAAATTTTATAACATTTTTTATACCTCAAGATTGAACGATTCAGAATTCAAGTATACATTTTTCTTCGTTATATGCATGTTCAATGCTTGTCCAGCTTCGCTTTTAAACAAATTCATCGTGTCATCGGTATTCGAACTTAAATTATACAATTATTACATCGACAACAATGTCGCAATATTTTTTTAATTCTTCTACTAATAACGAATATAATAAATAACGAGAAAAGAGTTTCGAACTCTACGATACATCACTAGACAATCTATAACTTTTTTCTTTTTACGAATATCACCGCAAAATTTTTAGATGCGCAGACTTAAAACATTGTTAATTCGATGTGTAAGCAAAAGACAAATCCGGTGTTTCGATCTGTTCCATCAATCTCGAAAATTCCCACAATATCAAAGTCATTTAACCGATGAAACCAAAGCTGGATAGTTAAAATAGTAATTACGTGTCAATTTAATTCTTTCGTATTCTAAAAATCCTAGTAACATTCAGTTTGTTCCAATGCTCAGTACTCTCTCGCAATAGTTCGGTATGTGTGGTTGTAGGAGAATATATTTCCACGAAGTCAAGTAGAGTGAAACAAACGAACAATACACAGTTGTCATTTTACACACTACTCCTCTCTATAATAAAATATGCGTATCATTTTTAATATGCATTGAACGAACTATTAAGAGAATCGTTTTTAACATACATACGAACGCGAACATGCTTGCTCAGTAGCGGGAGAAGTGTTCGAAGACGATGTAAAAAATTACAAATTATTGAGAGACGAACTATTGGCAGACAGTATGGCACCACAATAAAATTGAATTACAAAATCTAGTTAAAAATCGATATATTAATAAATATGTAATAGTTCAATTCTTCTTAACACATTACGATCCGGGCTGTTTCCACGAAAACTTCTGCGTGTAGCCGGCATATTTAAGGTTGCTGCATCACTTTACAAAAATGGATATAACTTATAAAATATCAGTCGGTTGAAATAAATTATAAAATATGTTGCTTCATTGAAGATACAAGACACATGCCTCTGTGAAAAGGTACATTACAATGTTTCCAGGCAATCAAGAAAATTACTATTTTTATTCATCCTGCCTTTCCACGAGCAGTCGAGACAATTACTATATTTATTTATCCGGACGGTAATGCGTTAACGTATAAATAATGTGACGCGGCAGTGAACGTGTCGAACGGAGTCTTCCCGATAGTGTCTATGTTCGAGCACCCACAAGAGCTCGTCTGTTTCCAGGATCCCCCAAGGGTGACGCGATACGAGAGCGACCAAGAACAATTCCCGCACGGGCCGCGGAACCTGGAGGGCGACAACGTGGCGGTGCCAGTGACACCTCTCACGTCTCCGAACGGCAGACGAAAGAGGTCGGTGGTCGTGTCCGATCGTAAGATCCGCAGCGCCGACGTCGGCGTGAGTGGTTTATACGAGGTGATCTCGGAGGCGGATCTGGCCTTCAGCCCGGACACTCATGCGGAAGCGGTAACGGTCTTCCAAGGCAGGATCCGCGAGGAGGTGGTCTACGGTATCTGTCTGCCTATGCCCGGGTTCAGCGCGCTCTTCATCGTCGTGGCCCTATCTGCGGTGATTTCCGCGCTGGTCGCCGGCGCGATGCTTCATCGGCTGCAGGCGCAACGCGAGGCCGTCGACAGCAGAAAGAACAATAGAGCGGTGCACACGACCAACGGTTGGCTACCATACGGGCTGCTGCGCGTGCGATGCACGACGAGACCGGCTCACCCTGAACAGATCCAACCAAAACAGACGAACTCGGTCGCCGCGAGCCCCTCGGTCGAAAGGGGTTGACAAGCGTGTCCGCGACAATGATTGGCCTGTGCTCGCCACCTCGAGAGACGACGTGCAATAATATGCTGTACAAATTACTTTAAGTGCGTACGATTGCGCGCGAGAGTTCTCTCGCGGACCATTGTTCCGGGATAATACTTCCTTCCAGAGAAACAGAGCGAAAGAGAGAAAGAGAGAGAGAGAGAGAAAGAGAGAGCGTGAGCCGCGGAGAGAATGAGACGAGGAGAGAAAGTCGAACGGTGCGCTTGGAATCGAGCTCCTTGTAGAGACTAATTACTTTAATAGGTGTTTAAATGTGGGTGTCTTTTCTTAACGGATTCAGAAACTGAAACATACACGATGATTTCGTTTTTGGCTAGTAACTGTTGGTATTGGGTAAGTAAGGTGTTAGGTGGAATTCAAGAGATTTATGAAAGAGAGAGAGAGAAAGAGAGAGATAGAGAGACAGCCGACGCTGTGAATATTGTAAAAACTCTATAACCATGAGATTGCGGATGATACTGTTAGGAAACCGTGTTTCTTCGATCGACGCGACGTTCAGCAGATCGAACACGGCCGCAGCTGGATGACGCTGCTTTCAACGGGTACATCGCTTTCCTTAGATAATTTAAGAACGGAAAGGAACGCATTAACACACTTTGAATCTTGTAGAATATAACATATGCGCGAGTAATTACGAAAGGGATCTAAGCGCTTGAAGAATTTCTTACCATCTATATATATATACAAAATATATTTAAAAAATATATATATATATACATATCTGTTTGTATTAGATCACTTTCATAATCGCCGGCATATACATATGTAAACTACCGCGATTTACGAGAATCTATTTTCTGTACGTAAGTCATCTATATATCTTATAGATTTATACATATTTAATTATTGATTTACTAGGGATGCTGCTATGGATATACACTTATAGACCCGCAAGTTAGAAGAGACTAGGAAGTCCCGGGTTGTTCTTAGGATCAACCCTTCTCCGAAATAGTAGTTTTTTGCTATGCGACGAGACGTAAGATCGTGGGGAAACCTTGTCGGGAATACTTCTCCGGTTGGTATCGCGCGTCGGTCGCAGGTCTTTTCTAACTTGGCGAGCTATAGCAATTACGATTGAAAACGAATAAAATAAAACAGTTAGTACAAACGAACATTGTAATTTATATTTAACAAAGTTTCGTACGGAATACTCTGGAAATTAGAGAGTGCTAGTATTTATTATCGCATGGGAGGTTGATTCTAATAAATCGAATTGTATAACTAACTTTAATGGTGCTCGTGCATCGAGAGAGAGACGCGTTATCATAGGATACGTCATCTGTAGACATCGTTTAACGCCTAAACATTACGTCGAAGTAACAGCACCTCTAGAATTAGCCCCAAAGAGGCTGAGAGTAACAATACCTAATTGAGCATAGGAAAGAGACGGTGAATTCTTTCGAGAGAGAGCTTGAAGAACGCGTTGCTGGGACGATCGAATCTCTCATATATTTTCAATAATGTATATCTCTGCGTAGGATAATGCAAGAGCTCGATATATTTTAGTGGATACCTCGATGCATTTTTAACCTTCCGTTGACACGTTACGACAACAATTATAATAGCTGTAACAGTATATTTCGAAAAACCAAGTTTCTATTATCGACCAATCGTTTCGGAATATGTAATGTGTATCATACTTCTTTAATCCTTTTTTTATAGTCTTCTCTTTTCCCCGCCAGTGCCAACCGAAGGTTAGTGGGTCAGAATCGATCGAAGATCGATTTCTTCTGACTGTTGTGTGTAGGCGACTAGAGCGTAGAAACGATTATTTAAGAATCTTCTAACCGTGACACGCGTTTCGAGGAACGTCCAGGAAGACGTTCCTCTTATTACCATGGTAGTTAGTCGCTGGCCTTGAAACACCAGGTATACATAATATGTAATATACATATATATATATATATATATATATATATATATATATATATATATATATATATATATATA